TAATCAGTATTAACTAAAGTGAGTTGTATTATTAAACGTCCGTCGGATTGTTTAAATTATCGTCATAGTATTTGTAGATCAATAAATCAAGTTTTGCTAACCATTCAATTAAATGTTACTATTTACAAGGTGTGTTTACTCATTTCTCGATTCGCGGAATAAGTCTCTCAAGATATTAACAATTTGCTAAAATTATTTTTCATTGTTTTCAATCCAAAAGCGTTCAATGTACAAATATACTTACCATAACACTGTAGTACTATACAGTAGATATATGTTATTATACGTTTATTCCCTACGTACCACACTTTGAAGCAGCGCCAATGACGGGAAAAATTGTTCATTCTTATACTAATTAAAGCACATGTACTTCTTATGGAAAATTTTTTTTTAGCATTAAGTAGTGAAAAAATTACTGTTTGCTTAAAACTTGTTAATACTAAAAATAGTCAACTTAGTTATAAGGGATTCGTTAATGCATAAAAAAAAATGTATGAAGCGTCATGGCCTATAAAGAGCTGTGTTATTCTTATAAGTACCGCCGTTTTTAGCCATGCAGGTGGCGCTGTTTCCGATTGCTGCACGCAGCGTTGGGTTAGGCGGATTCAATATCGAAACTTTTTCCCTAGATAGTATATATAGCTATACGATCTAGGAAGAATGTTCCGTCGAGCAGACACCACAGCAGTGAAGGGGCATTGCCAAAGACACGCGAAAATTAAAAATTGTAATATTAATAACACAAGTGCCTATCACCCAATGACCCGGGGTGCTTACTGGCCACTCTATTAAATAATAAAATATTAATTATTAACACAAACGCCTATCACCCAATGACCCGGGGCGCTTACTGGCCACTCTATTAAATAATAAAATATTAATTATTAACACAAACGCCTACAGTAATTTTTATAAAATGGTGAGTATGATTGAGCTTTCTTAAAAAATATAGTTATTTTTACTGTAGTTATAATACTTTTTCTCACACCATTTTTCTCAGTGTATGTATTACTCATCTATTATTGCATAATTTCTAACTAGCCTAAGCTCAAATTTCATCATAAGATGTGTACTTTTGGATAAATAAAGATCCATTACCATCTGCAGCTTGGAAACCATGGTATTATTTAACGCACGGTCACTTCAGGCTCTCGTGTATCATCGACCATCAATCCAGGAAATTCAAGCCAATTTGGTGCAATGTAATTATTTTCTATATTTATCAAAGTATCATAAGTATCACCATGCAATAATTATAATTATATAATATTATTATAAATACCATATTGAACCAATTTGAGTTTGAAATAATGCAATAACAGCTGGGTAATACGTAGTTGAAAAACATAAAACATAATTTTTTCAAACTTCAACAATTTTCTACACAAGCTAAGATTTAAACATGCTGATTAATTTTTTGTTAAAAATGNCACCTATCACCGTATAACCTGGGGCGATAATTGCAAATCTAGTAAATAAATAATTATTAATAAATATGTCAAGCACCTTTTTCCTGATGATCCAGGGCACTTATTTGCAACACTATTAAATGATAAAAAGTTGATCGATAACATATGTAAACATATCACAATTTTGATTGCCTATCCAGTACGACAAAGATCTTTTTAAATAGCGCTCTTGTAATTCCTTGATAATTTATTATTCAATAGTAGCCAGTAAGCACCCCGGATCATGAGGTGATAGGAGCTTGTGTTATTAAAAATTATTTATTTAACAGAGTGGCCAGTTATCGCCCCGGGTCATTGGGTGATAGGCGCTTGTGTTAATAATTAATAAGTACTTTAATATTTAATAGAGAGGCCAGTCAGCGCCCCGGGTCATTGGGTGATAGGCACTTGTGTTATAATATTACAATTTTTAATTTTCGCGCGTCTTTGGCAATGCCCCTTCACTGATGTGCTGTCTGCTCGACGGAACATTCTCCCTATAGATCGTATAGCTATATATACATCGAAAATAATCGAAACATTTAAGAACATTTCTATTATGTTCTTATAAAAATAGCTTATCGCCAGCCTGAAAACAGTTATTTGATGAACAGAATACCTGTTGCGGTACTAACACGAATATTTTCAGTTTATCACTCAAACATTATAATATTGTTAAAATTTTGAAATAAAAAAAAAACGCGCGAGATACAATCAAGAACATGGCGGTATACATCAAATTCTGGATGCTCTTACAGCACTGAGTGTCGCAACTGTGTAAACTGTGCCCTGACCTTGATGTAAGGCTTGCCTGTCCATGCCCTGGTCTTATTCGGTTCTTATTCCCATTCTTGTCGGGTTCTCGCAGGGACTTGTAAACTATACTTTTACCTTATTTCTTTTTACAATTTTTAATTTTTTGTCCATTCTAATTGATTAATATTTGAATCGATCAATACAAATTTTAATATACTCTTACAATTACATTTATTATTTCTATTTCTCCCTTTCAAAATGTTTACTAACTCTAGGTGCTCGTCTGCTTGGTCATTGTTTCCTACGTGACACCTGGTACGAAAATACACTTTCATATACACTACATTTTACGATCAATAGATTTTAGAAATTCATGTAAGATTATTCCTACTTAGGAATTTTTTCTTCGATAACAGTTGGGAATACAGTATTTACACAAACACTCGTCATTATTAAATCACTCTTATAACATTACTTGACCGAAGAACAATAAAAACCAAACATTAAATTTAACTTAGACAGAGGCAGTTTTCATATGTTCAAATCATTGGCGGCTGGACCCAACTCGAGTTGAGATAAAATACGCCAGGGGTGCTAGGAGTCAGTTTAGACCTCGAATATAGACAACGAAACCACCTATTATATCTGGGGAGAAATTAAGTTTTTTTTTTTCGAGGTGAAAAAAAAGTTGAAGACAAAAAATTGTTGGAGTACATATTTTTAACATTATGAGAGTTGGTTGTAATTTTTTTTTTTGGAAGTGCCATTCGCGGCAAGATTAGAATTCACCTTGTATCTAAAAATCGACTTTCAAAAAAGTAGAACCCCTACAAAAAATCAAAACCAAGCCACAACTTTGACAGTTAATTTTTTTTACAATTTTTTTGAAAGTCGATTTTCGGGTACAAGGTGCATTCTAATCTTACTGCAAGTGGCACTTCCAATATACAACTTTGTTTTTTTCTATCCATTGGTTCAAGTTGCGGCTGGTTTATAAAATAGACTATGGGCACGTTCGATTATCCGTCGTTCGTTCGTTCGCACTACTTATCATAGATCTAATGCTCAGGGAACGTCCAGTTCACTGAACGATTTATTTTTTCCTACGTTCCTAAAGCATTAGTTCTAATGGAGAGCGAACGAACGAGCGATGAATAATCAAACGGGCTCTATTTTGCACTTCTTAGGGTGTGTTCCAGTAACGCTCTCCGACAACTTAGCGACAACTTAATTATGTCTTACGATATCTTGCGTCATGTTTAAGTTGTCGGTAAGTTGTCGGAGAGCGCTACTGGAACACACGGTAAAATACTGAAAAAACTCTTCGCCAGGTTCCCCAATTCTAGTGAGAGTGGCCGCTGGTTATTTTGACCACCTTCCGGTCTCAGTTCTTGGTATATTGCGCCTGTTCAGAGGTAAACAAACAGCTCGGTGTTAGATGAAACCATAGACATATAAGAAATATAGACTGCTCGTTCTTATCTCCGACGCTTAAGCTCAAGTAAAAGGAGACACAACATCGAACGTGGGTATATGTCTCTCTCGCACACTTCCACCTTTGGCAATATGCGAAAGACAGATGCCCACGTTCGATGCTGTGTGTCTCCTACTTGTGCTTTAGCGCCGTTAATAAGAACGAGCAATCTATATTTCTTATGTATATGAGTGAAAATGTACTATATCCCGATCGGAAATTGACTCTACGGCAAGTATATGGACCTTACATTTTGCCGGAAAGTAAGTATACGGACCTCTTCCGCCGCCTTGAAGGCCCTTAATGTGGTGTTACCAGGTAACTTTCCGGGCAGTTTTTATTTGCCGGAAGCACTATGGACCGTATACGTACCATAAAGTACCCGTACATGGCCCGAAAACATGAAAAAATATGCTAGTCACAAGATTAGTTACAACAAATTAGCACACCAGACCCTCAAAAGCGCTCAAAGTAGGAAATCAATGTAGTAAGGGATGACTTAATGGAAATAAATATACCAATTTACAAAAGTAATAGATTTATCATATAAAGAAATGTAATTATTATGGAAAAATTATTCAACATTTTGGTCATTTTTTTTCCTTTTATTTCCTGCTGATATTTTTTGACAGCCTTTTTAACTCTGCCTCCATTATAATCTGAACAGTTGTTGATTACTTGGCCCATAGCTTGCTTTATAATTTTAGGTTTTGCTATTATATTCTTTATCAATTAAGCATAACTGTTGAGCATGACCTCTAAAGAAGAAAATTTTTATATATTTGTCCTCCATGATTATAATTTATTATATACAACGATAAACATTTGCAACACACACAACGCGAGGTGTTTATACTTTTTCGGAGCAATCTAACCTCTACCTACGTATTAAATCATGATTAAGGGCCATGTACGGTCAATTCATGGGCACTGTATAGTCGTTAGACTATAAGTTTCGCACATACTGACCGGAAAGGTACCTGGTAACACGACCCATACGGCCCGTAAAGATTCTTTCCGGTAAACATAAACGGGCCGTATACTACCTTCCGGCGTACGGAGTCTTTTTCCGATCGGGATGTACCGTCAAAAAGATGTTTTTGGCCTTAATAAACAATTTTATTACACTGAAAAAAATAACATCCCAACTTTCATTAAGTTAAAAATATGTACTCCAATAACTTTTTGCGTTCAATACCTTTCCACCACAAAAAAAAGCTTATAAAGCCTGTACTTCCTCTAGTATTCATATGTATATATAAATCCTGACAGTCTGGATAAGTACAACTTGTTTTTAAGATGTTAATCTTTTACATTTGAAGATTTCAAGACAAGGCGAAGTTTACTACTTGGAGCAAGGAAGCCATGAAAATTGGATTATGTTCAGTTCCACAGGCAGGGCGTCAAGCATCATTAATATGTATGATTAACTCCACAGCTATGTCTTTGCTTTTTAAAGATACACTACAAAACTTCGATCAACTATACAGGAGGAAGGTAATAAGACCAATCTTATCATTCCGGGTGTGTTTTGTTGTGTTGTAATATCTACATATTTCATAACAGGCTCATATACATCACTATTTGCAAGTAGAAAATTTTGAAAAAGAAGACTTTATTGAGAGCAAAGAAACAGTAGTAAATGTGTTCAATCAATATAATAAAATTCAAAGTGAAAGTCCTACTGTTTCTCGGTTAAAACTACAATGAGATTTTGTTCAACAAGGTTTACTCTATTAACAGTGTTAAGTGGCCAATGAAGTGTTCAATAATGTTTTCTATAAGTTTTATACCAAGCATTTTAAAATTTGGATCTGATTGAATTCAAGACGCATGGAAATAACTCTTGTACTAGTTATTTATGCACTAAATTAATGTAGAGGTTTAATACAGAAGATAAAGAGCCACAAGGTTTTGTAATGAGTATTTAAGTACTTAAGATAACCATCATTTACTTCCTAGAAAATAAAAGAGTTATTTTTACGAAATTATGAGCTATGTGATCTATTTGAAAAACCACTTTGTCAACCATATAATTTATAAAGTATATAGTAATGATTGTAAGTTGTTTTTTCGAGATACTTTTTATGTTGATATATTAGACTCCATTGTGGCAGTTCAAGAAATAATTACCACAAATTTTAGCATCTTTGGAATGTGCCAAAATATTGTCAAACTAAGTAGAAATAAATTTTTGTAAATTTTATGATGATCTAACTAGCTGGAATTTGAGGTAAACCAAATTCATCCACTAAAACTCCATCCTGAAATATAAATAAATATTTGTTAGCAAATAAATTTATATTTTTATTGCAAACTAACACTTGAACTTAGATATTGAATTAAACATATCATTATGAGTATAAAACTGAAATCCACAAAATTATTCAAACTACTTGCACTTAACGAACTTGCTTGTAGAAAACGAGTAGTTTCATCTTGTCAAAGCAAACAATCTGTGTATAGATAAGTATATATCAATCAACTTTAATGATAATGAAACTGTCGAGATCCAATTATTCATACTATTATTTTTAGCAATGCCTCAAGTATGGATGTAATGCTGCATGACGTTATTATTAACAACAAATAAACTATAATTTTTTTTTCTAGTTACATAAAATAATAGCTTGAAAAGTAAACTTTAAGTATAAAACTAAATTGTTCACTATTATTCTCCATAATGAGTAACGTTTTCATTCTAATGCCATGAAATATTTTGTGTCAATTCGTTTGATATATACAAAAGTATGTGTGTGTATGTGTGCGTGTGTGTGGACATAATAATTAGATGAATTGTGGTACCAACCTTAGTTGTAACTGAAGCTGCACCTGGTTCTTTATCAGGTGCACTTGGAGCTTTTATAGCATTGTCCAAGTAAGAAGCATCTGTATCCAAAGCTAAGTCATCTCCAAGAGCATCGAGTTCAGCAGCCAACTCATCTTCATCTATGTCTGGCATACCATAACTGCGGCCCAATGCTTCCTGTACTTCATCTGCCTGTTCCAACATGTCAGCTAGGTCATCTTGAATATCCTAAAACAGTAATAATTATCTTCATTATTTATTTATTCTACAAGCGTTAGTTAAACTTATTATAATTATCTAAGACACTTCCTAAAGCATTAAAAAAAAATTTTAAGTTAAGAAAAACAAAAAAAAATAACAGACCTCAATTTTGTCAACATTTATGTTTTTAAATTCCTTTTGCATTTGCTTAACCCCATCTTTCATGGCAACTACCGTAGCTTGTGTGTCTTTTAAAGTTTGTGTAGCATAATTTGCTTGTTCCATGTTAAAAGCTTGCTGGCGTAAATTTTCGACCTGCTCTTCATACATTTTTCTTTGCTTTAAAACTCGCAGAGCTTTAGCTTTTATTCCATTTTTAGCTGGTCCGTCACGCATTTTGGTCATCTGCTCTTTAAACTTTCTCAACTCTGTATCTAATCTTGCAATTTTCTTTTCAGCTGAATCCGCTCTACCATCAACCTACCAAGGCAGTACATTTTATTTATGATCACAAATATTCTGTTAATTGGTAATTTGTAAATAGTAAGCTGTGTCATTATTTCAATTAGGCAACGATATGAAAAAAAACATTCATGACTAAGATTCCACTTGTATTGTTCATAAATCGTTTTGTATTTTATATTTTTTATCACTGGGCCTATTCACACTAAATCCACGCGAATCTGTGGATGTTATACAGTATAGATAACACCTGGAGTGCGTGTGGATAGTATCATTATTATTTACGTAAATATTCTGAGCCCTACATCCATGTAAACGTGGATATTGCCCTACTTATATCAACGTATTTACGTAGTTTTGGTGCAAATAGACACGGATTTCTTACAACCGGACAAAATCTATTATAGACCTAAATGTTTAGTACATACGAAAATGATAAGGTGTGGATAATGATGACAAATCCAATGTTCTACACAACAAGAGATTTATTTTTAAAAAATCGATAGGGTATCACAACATTCCAATGAATTTATGAAGAATACATGTATACAGTAAATATTTTTCGTAATTTTACAACGCTGGACGTTGGAAAAAATCCGACATCCCGATATATATAGATATACTGGCCAATGCTAAATGTCGGATTTTTCCCAACGCTGGTAGTAAATTTACGAATCATTTTTTACAGTGTAGATACGACTGACAGAAGCTGTCGAACTAATCTACCAACTTCGGAATTACATGAATAAAAGACCTTACCCCAGCAATACAGTCATCGAGGTTTGGAGGTGGATCTTTTGATTTTACTCGGCCAAACAATCGATTCATAGTTAATATATACTTGTTTCTGTACGAACAAAACAAAATACTGCCATTAAACGACCTCAGACAATGTAATATAATAAACAAATCTGAAAGATTACTGATGTGTACACATAGAGATAATAATATAATCTCTATGCGTATACTTCTACTTACTTCTGTGACTTCTGCAGTTATAAGTAGGGGGGAGGCAAGTTTATAACGGAACAGTCCGTTAAGTCCGCTTACCATGCAGTGGTTGGTAGTGTATCTTATGTCAATGTAGTAAATTTATTAACGACGCGTAGTAAATACACGTAATGTGGGAATGTGCCTGTACCACGTGACATGGCGATATATATATATATATCAAAAATAGTGAAATATCCGAGGAACTCGGATCCTTGTATCTTAAGAAGGTTTGGGAGAAAAGTTCAAAATGGAGAAACGTGCCAAAAAAAATGTATGTTATATTTGAGCATTTTAGGAGTGCACATGAATTTTTCCAGATTTTACACCAGAAGAAATTTTCGAAAAATAAAATAATGAAATATTGGCAGTTTAACACGGTCTCTTATGAGAGAGCAAGGTTAGGTTTGCCTATTAATTGAAATAAAGGTATATTTTTAATGTGTTGGAATAAAAAAAAAAACGTTTTCATAGATAACGTGGTACAAACGGAAGATGCTCGACAAGAAAAATCAAGCCTTAAAAGGCATTTTTTTTTAATATAAGCAGTAACAGTCGTACAGTTTCCAGTTTGCAGAGTGCAGGAGGAGGTACGCAGTAAAGGGGGCCCAGATACGCGGGCAGGGGTGACCCGGGTGACTCCCCGTTCCACGACTAAGTGAATGATACTCCCAAACCTTCACAAGTTCTAAAGAACAAAATAAGCCCAAAAACGTTTCATTTGAGTAAAAATTTATTGGAAGCACGAATTTTGAGAGTTTTTCGGGCTTTCTGGACCACTGTGCACCGTTTTGTCTCGCTGTCTCTCAAGTCATGCGACTCTTTACTGTCTTCGCTCATACCTTCCTTATCAGGAGCCGTACCATATAACTTTTTTTCACATCGCGGACCTATGTTATAACATAGACCGATGTACAGAAAAATCGTTACATGGTACGGCCCCAGAGATTAGTAGGGAGATTGCTGACCAGCGTTGGGTAAGAAGGATTCAATATCGGAACTTTTTCCCTAGATCGTGTATATAGCTATGCGATCTAGGGAGAATGTTCCGTCGAGCAGACAGCACAGCAGTGAAGGGGCATTGCCAAAGATACGCGGAAATTAAAAATTGTAATATTATAACACAAGTGCTTATCACCCAATGACTCGGGGCGCCAACTGTCCTCTCTATTTAATAATAAAGTATTAATTATTAACACAAGCGCCTATCACCCGATCTCCCGGGGCGCTTACTGGTCGCTTTATTAAATAATAAAGAATTAATTATTAACACAAACG